TTTTTTCAATTTTGTTAAAATAGTGCTTCGTGATTTCCTTTGTCAGCTTGTGTTGGTAAAAGTATCTCAAGTAGGAAAATCCCAACACTTAGCACTTTTGATCTATGGAAGAAGAGCAGTTTTGTTCCCCTTTGCCAATTGTAACTGCTTTATAACACCAAAAGTTTCTAACCTTTATTAAGCACCAGGCCAAGTACTTCTTGTTGATGTCCTTCAGCCTTCCTAATAGTTCTGTGAACAAACATTTCATCTCCATTTTACAGATGGAAAAAGTTGGGGTGAAGAGTTAGCCCATCCATCCTCAGGAAGAATTTAATAAAGAAGTGTTCACTTGTGGTGAGGCAAAGCAAAAGGACTGCTAAATTCTTTGTATTTGATATAATTGGAAAAGAATATAAAATATATGAAAATTTTGAAATAAAAATTTGTTTTCCTCCTCACAATGGAAATCCCTGCCACAGTTAGGCATCATAACTGTTTCCCTCTAATGGATTCCTAATCCAAGATGGTCACACTTTCTTCCACAGGACTGACTTTAGAGAAACTCTGCAAGTCAAAAAAGTGAATGAGTATTGTAGAGTAAGAAACATATCCAAAATAGATTATTCAGTGTTTTTCATGGTACTCATTGTCCCTTCTGGAAATTTCTGACCTGACAAATACAGAGAAGAGAAAGGTAGAGAAGAAAGTGTTAAAGAAAGCAGAAGGGAAACAGCTGAAGTCAGTACATAGCTACATGTGGCTCAGGACCAAATTGTCCCAGAATGTCACTTCAAATTCAGAAAGCTGCCAAAAGTTGAAAACACAACATGTTGGAAGACACACACACACATACACTCATAAACACATATAGATACACATGTATATAATATACTGCATACAGCATTACATATTTGTTTAAGATCCAATGATCCTCTAAATGCTTCTTGCATCCTGTGGTGAATTTAGTACTTGCACACAGTGCTGGAAAGCCTTGGTTCAGTGGGAAGGGGTTAGCCAGGGACAGCTGGCTTTCGCAGGAGGTCAGGGACAGAGACTGGCAGAGACAACTGCATGGCAGGTGCTGCAGGGGAGGGGATGAGCATACAAGACTTGAAGGTAAAATAAGCTAGTTGTGTACAAAGACAACAAGCAGACTGGCTTGGCGGTGAGAAACAGAATGCTTGATGAAATGGCTTTAGAGTCAGAACCAGGTTTGAACCCTCTCTTCCTCTAGCATTTACTAGTCCTGTAATGTTGGACAATGTGATTTACACTTTCTGAGCCTTCCTTCTCTTATCTGTAGAGAAAATACCTATTTCCTGGCATTGTTGAGAGTATAAAATGCTAGTAGGGGCTTAATCACTGTCCCTGTCACTTGTTCTTAATGGTTGGTAGAAAGGAATTTCGTTATAGCAAAAAAAAAAAAAAAAAAAACATTCCAGGCATTGCACAGGGGTGTCTTCCCCATATGATCCTATTTATTCTATTAAAATCCTTCAGGAGAGGCTCTACTTGTCCCCATTTCACTTAGTGTGCCCCAGGTCACAGAGCTAGTTTCCAGCAGAGGAAGAATTCAAACCAAGTCATCAGATCACCAGGCCTATATATGTTCCACTGTATCTGGCAGTTTCCTAAGCAACAAGTGGTAAGACTAAAAAGCATCAGTGAGAGGAATCCTCATAGGACAGATGGGGAGTTAAAAAACTAACAACAAGCCCCTAAATCCATTTCTCATCTGCTCAATATATTTTATGGAATTCTGGGAAGAGCTGAGGAGTGACATTTCCAATCAGACCAATGAAATGAACCTCAAGAACTTCTCATCCCTGCCCTCAGTTTCCTCATCCAGTTTCCTCCCAATGGGGAGCTGGGACTACATACTTTCTGAAGTTACTTCCAGCTCTAAAATGATGAGCACATGGGTAGAATTACAAGGTTTGAGACACAAACAGCACACTGTGCTCAGAGCCATCTCTTGAGCGTGATGCCTTTTATAATAGAAGCCCTCTCACCCAGAGAGATGTTTAATCATGAAATCCTAAAATAGCAATGGTGTAATGTTCTCAAACTCTTTATTTTAATTCAAAATATATAAATGTACGTTCATTATCCAATTTCACTGATGTAGGCGCAATGCCTCTCTCTTCAACACTAGGACATGGGGAGAGAGCAGGGATGGGTTATGCAGACAATTAACTATGCTCACAATCCATCATGTACAATTTCCTCTTTCTTTCTTCCTTCCTTCCTTCCTTCCTTCCTTCCTTCCTTCTTTCTTTCTTTCTTTCTTTCTTTCTCTTTCTTTCTTTCTCTCCCCCCACCCACCCAGTGCTAGAGATTCAGAGCCTCAGGCATGCCAGACAAATATTCTATCATTAAACTACATCCCCCAGCCCCATTTCCAATCTCAATGACCTTAAAATAGAAAGAATTTTAATGATTACGGATAAACCCATAAGCAGAATCTCTTTAGATTTTCAAGTTTTTCCTCATCTTTTATAGCTGTTTCTCCCACACTTAATTTGACAGCAATTTTTAGTGACTCACCTCTATGGAGTCTTTTTTAAGTATTCAACACAGTTTCCCTAGAAACAAGAATGTTATTTCTTTTTATATTCCCATTTCAGCAGTTTAATTAAACAATAAGTCAGACTTTGTCATCTCTCTTCTCTAGAGTGTCCAATGACTCACCCATCTTACTGAAAGGACATGTAAAGTCCGTCCATGGCTCCACACTCTGTGACCCCTGCCGTTCCCCCTGCCTCCTCTCCTGCCACCCCCCTCCTCAGTCAATCCACACCAGCTAGGTGACCTCCAGGTATGTTTCCTCATGTGGCCAAGGGAGCTCTTGCTTCCAACTGGCTTGCTGTTCCCCCTCTCCAAATTTTCTTCCTCTGGATATCCACAGGGTGAGCTCTTAGAATTCCTTCTTTCTAGTTCTTTGTTCATATTTCACCTTCTCAGTGAAGCCTTCTCCATTATCCTAATTAAAGTAGCCACCCTGGCCTCCCACCTCAATGTTGTTTTTTTCTAGCATACGTAGCTGATGTTCTATACATTTCACCCATTAGAATTCAAGCTTAGGAGGGCAGGGAATGTTGCCTGTTTGCAGATGTACTCCAGTGCCTAAAATAACAGGGCCATAGTTGTCATTCCATAAATAAGTCTTCAATAATAATCTCTGTTGTTGTAATAAATGTATTATCTGACTAAATTGCATAAGTACAATACTAGGTACCTCAGACTTGAGGAGGGTTAGGAACAAAGACTCTTGGTAAGCAAAGAAGTCACCTGGAGGGCTCAGAAGTGCACTGGTTCTGAAGAGCTTACCCTGCAAGGCATGAGCAGCCATGAGCCCTAGGATCAGCCAGGGCATGGTAGAGAGGGCAACAAGGTCACCTGTTAAATGCAAGTTGCTAAACAGTCTCTCCTTTTAACTCAACCAAACTGATGTCTCCAATCACTTGATGTTTTCATACTCAAATACATAAAACCCATAGCAAAGTATAGAGGATAATCTGGCTACTTTGCTTCAGATAGAGATAAAACAGTAGATAAACTGTCTTATTCTGATGTACCCCTCCACGGTCAATGACCTTTAGCAAATCTCTTCATCTCTTTCTTATCCTTAGTTCTCCATTAAAAAGCAAGAGGGTATAAAATAATATGTGGCCTATTTTATCAGTCTATGGTAAGTATCAGATGAATCACTAACTATGAAAATATATGAAAAAATTATAAAGCATGCTATACAATAAGCAATTATTGGGGCTGGGGTTGTAATTCAGTGGTAGAGCACTTGCCTAGCATGTTTGAGCCACTAGGTTCAATCCCCAGCAACACATCAAAAAAAAAAAACTAGATAAACAAACAATAAGCAATTTTCTTTGTATGAATAAAGATGACTTACTTGTCTATAATATCTCCCATTGCTCCCCCAAACTGATAATGTACTTTAGAGCACTTTGATTTTGATATTATTCTAAAATTTATAAAGAATAAACAGAATGAAAAGTCTGCTTTTAAGGGCATGGAATGAGAAAAAGAAGGAAAATCAGGCCTTTTCCTGGTTCTTAAATAGAAAAATATCAAGAAGGAAAAAAATGCATAAATCTTCAGAGCAGTAACTATAATATAAAATGATCAGATTTAAGAATATTACTGTGAGTATCTATGATTATCTGGACTCTGGGACAATTTAGATGTTACTCATCTATTTCTACTACAAGAATAATCCAAGATGACTTATTAATATCACAGATGTCAATAGCAGGTTATGATGTAAATGGGAAAACTCTTTCCAACCATCTCAGTTCTGTTTTATTATAGCATTTATTACACCAAAATAAAAAGTGGTGAAGAACGACTTGTCACACCATTTATTAGAGTTGATGGAGTGTAGACAGTCTTTTCAATAAGGCTTTAACACACTGTTCTGCACCATAGTCCATTATTAATGAAAAGAAATGCATGATACTTGCATCTGCTTTTCCCCCAAGTCATTCAGACATTAAATTCAAAATCCATTCTACTCTTTATGGCAAAGGGTCAGAGATCAAATGTTAATTTGTTGTTTACCAAAATGTTCATTTCTAATCAGGAATCTTCCCTATTCTACTGAATTTAATAATAGTACTTTCTTGGAGAGGGGATCAAAGAAGGAAGCAAATGCAACAGGAATATAAACAAATCGTGCCCTAGTTTATATCTGACAAGAGAATGAGATCTAATTTTTCTCTGTGAAAAGAACACAAAGGACAGCCACAGAATGCAAACTGTGTGTTGCATATCTGAACTTCTCTTCCAGCACCTGAGTATCTGAATGGAACTAATTCACTCTAGAAAAGGCATTAAGTAATAGAGCCTGATGGTGCCAGGATGAGGGATAACCTTCAAACTGTGAACAAAAGTAAACATATTTGACAATGATAGGAATCACCTCACTCACACAGTAACCTCCATCAAGCATTTCACACTCAAAAGAAAAAAAAAAAACAAATATATTAAGAATGACCTACCGCCAACAAGGAACCCTGATAGACACAAGCACCTGTGGGGAAAAACAAACAAGAATTAAAAGTGATGCATAATATGCCAATAAGCACTGCCCCCCAGCAGGCTCTCTGCTCAAACTGCATCTACACGCATCATAATCAGCAAACCGCTTTTTCCAAAATCTTAAAAGCTTGAGCATTCTTCCCCTCGGGAAATAACCCCATACACCAAAATAACATTTCCTGGGCACACGTGAGGGAAGGCTTCATTAGAACTCATTATCTGAATTTTAAAATAAATGTATTTATAATGGCATACTCTAAATACAGTGCATATTTTCCTTTATGATAAATCAAGAAAGCTTCCATAATCTAGTCCCAATTTACTTATTCAAGCTTCTCTTCCACTCTTTGCTTACATAAATTCTCCAGTCCAACCCAAAGAGCCAACTTAGGATCCCATGATAAAATTTCATGTCTCAATGGCTTTTGTTTGTTTTTATTTCCTACAGGAGATGTATTTGGTCTATTCAAAGCCCTCGAATTTGATTTCATCTCCTTCATGACACTTTTCCAGCCCACAGGATTATGTTCATCTCCTGTGAGCTCATAGCACTTTGTGCGTGAATCATTTATTTGTGAATCACCCTTGTGTACTTCCTCTGGCATCCTTGCTACAGATGTGGAAATGCTGCTATACTGCACAAAATATATATCTGAGGAAATGGGGACTATTTCTCTTTTTTGGTATTCCCCTTCTCTTCATATACTAGGCATTCGTTTAGATATCTGGTTAACATAAAATACCTATTTCATGCTTTTAACACAATATGCTCCTCTTTGGAGAGATTAAATCATTTTATAGAAGAGCAATATAAATGGTGGTTATTTGAAAAGATCCCTTCTGTTGAGTTCCTGACCTCCAAGACTCTTTTCTCTCCATTTTTTTTTTCTGATGGGCTGCTTATGAACTGATACATCTTTATATTTTCCAGTCATTAGGCACCAAGTGAAAAAAAAAAGATGATTTGTTTCTACATGGAGAAGAAAGCTGAATTTGACTGGATAGCTTATGTATTCCGAATAACTAGCATATCATAAAACAACATAACAAATTGTAATCCTGATTTTTTTAAAAAAAAAAAAAAAACATTTCTCAACCAATTTTTGAGCAGCACGACAGGTGTTGATTTAACCTAGAAACAAGTATACAATGTGCTACTGGCTACTCTCAGAAACTAAGGCCACAAACAGAATAAAATAGTATACACAAACCAAAGTAGGTCATCTTGATGTTGTGCCACATTTGGTTTCCAAAGAGGGAAGGACACATTTTACTACAGTGCTTGTCTCTAACAGATGGTTCATGAAGTCTCAAAATATTACCTTCTCCAGAAAGGACTGGTCTATGTTCTCCACCAATAATGGAACTGAGAACAATCTAGTGAGATGACTATTTACATTTGAGTTGAATCAAAGACCCTGAGGCAAATTTACTAAATGACTTTTACATTCTTGACATTCAAATAGAATAATTTGAGACAAAGCCTTTGGGGAGGGAGGGACTTTTCTTAATTGATTTACTTTTCTTTAAGAAATTTGTTCCAAAGATTATATTTCAGTCTACAGCGTGTCATAAGAAAGCATATAAAAGATGTAAGTACATGTATATTTAGATATAAAATAATCATATATAACTCAAATACACAATTCATTTTCTAAACTGCTTAAACGGATTAAATGGATATTTAATTACATCCAATGTTTTAAAAATTACAATAAAGTTCATCACTAAGGTACAATTTAACAAAATTTAATATTTTTTCCAGACCATTAATTTTTAATGGCTAAACTATGAAAAACCTTTCACATATTAAATAGTTTTTTAATTGACAGATAAAATCATGTATATATGTATATGTCATGTACAACATGATGTTTTCAAGTACATTTAACCTTTATGATAAGCAAAAGAAAATTTAACTTTCAGAGAAAAAAAACACAAAACTTGTTCTTTAAAATAAGACTATCCTCAGATATAGGCATATGTTACTAGGGATACCTTCTGAGAAATGCATCATTAGGAAACATTTCTGTGATGCAAACATTTATTCACACCAAGTAAGATGGCTATGACATCATTAGGCAATATGAGACCAACATACTATATTCAGTTCAACATTGACCAAAACATCATTCTGTGGCACATAACTATAATTTTATTTCTCTCTCCCTCAGTATTACCTCTTTCACAGTTCCCCCCAAAATCAAGTACTTTAAGAAGTAACCAAATATCCACATAAAAACCTGTTTGGGGAAGTTCTATAAGAGGAAAACATAAAGCTACATTTAAGAGTGGCACCAAAGCCAGATGTGGTTAAGCGAAACATCTGCTATAGACTCCAGTCAAGTGGTATGTACCTGCTGATAAATTCTGTCATTAGGAAAAGAAAATAACTCAATTTGGGTCACTCTATGGTGCACAATTCCAAAAGAAATAAGCTTTGCCCTCTGAGGGCTTTCGTAAAATCAAACAGTTCTAACCAGAAGGCAGCTACATGAACGAATGTCCATTAACACTGTTTCCAAACCCTCATTTCTACTCTCCTGAGAGAACAAAGCATTCCAGTATGATGCCCAGTCCTATCAAACATTTATCACCACCCAAAGCCAGATGCGGTCATCCAGAGTAAACATATTTCTCCCACACTGTGGCACGCTGCACACCCACTAGCAGATGAAGTTGGGAGGTTTGTTGGCATTAGGTGCTGGGTGCAGCTTCTGATTCAGAACTGGAGCAGAGAGGCCTTTTCACTAATCCATCAATTCACATAATATGGACAACAAAGTGACTCCTTCTACTCATCATTTTTCCCCCCTAAGGAGTTCTAGAAAGATTACAGATCTATCTAAGCTTTCAAATTATGGCTTTATTTGAACTTGAAAGGAAAATCCAGCTCAGCTCAAGGTGGATTTTTCTTTCTTTTTTTCTTTTTAGTGCCTGAACTGAGGGCCTGTGCATGTTGGGTAAGCATTCTACAACCTCAGCCCCTCAAGACGAATTCTGAGAAATGGTAGAGATCTAGAAAGAGAAATATGCCTTCTTCAAAGGAAAATAGAGGAAAAAAATTTAAAAACAATGGGAACCAGAGTTCCCAAACCAAGAACATTGTCAGTTTCAGGGCATGAAATATAGCTAAAGGATCCAGCAATTTAATTCCAACAGCACACGGTCTGTGAGATAGTGCAGATAGTCTACAGAGTAAAGTAATTATATAGAGCAAAAAAGGAAGGCTGCTATGTTTGGAGAATTGGCTGCTCTTCTTCCAGTGTGGATGGCTCATTGCTACAGGTCACAGAGGCAAAATGTTACATATAAAATTTAAACAAATAAAATAATGGCTTTATTATTTGATGGCTTTTCAAAGATTATAATAAACTCCTTTATGACATATCTGTAAAAAATTAATATTTTCAGGGAAATTTTGAGATATGATTAGTACCAGTACTGACATCCTTAAACTATTCACTAGAGAAACTGACTGGTAAGCTGAGTGAATTAGAGAAGTTAAATCCAAGAAGCACAAAATGTCAGACCCATTAGTTGAAAGAAATAGTGTTCATTAAGACATGAAGAGATTTGGAGAGTAGGGCCTCACAAACACACGACTCATTAGGACCAAGCAGCCACAAGTTGGCATTTAAATGTTCAAGCTTTATGTTGTATTATAATTCAGCATATGGCTGTGTACACTGTGGAATAGTTAAAATAGAATCACTTCTGGACTGACAGGGCAGCTCATGTCCTGATGACTGTCGAGTAGGATTCAGATCAATTAATAGAGTAGTTAAAATGAAAATGGGCCAACTGTTTTTGAACTGTTATAAAAGTTGGCATGCAGCTCCCACTTCACCGTGTGGTAGTCCCCTCCCCTCTTCTGAGCCATGTGGTGGAGAGTATTTTATGACTACTTGTGTCTAAGTAAAATTAAGTGATATTGCCACCCAAGTCCATAGTGAATATGGATGGGTATGTCCTCACTAAAGGACGTCTATGGGGAGAGCAATACTCAGAGTCGATCCCCAGAAGGCAATGTATTAGAAACAAGAGCCAACAACATGGGGATAGGGATGTGGCTCAGTGGTAGAGCACCTGCCTAGCATGCATAAGCCCCTGGGTTTGATCCCTAGCACTGGGGGAAATTAAAAAAAAAAATCTATGCTAATACATCACATTATTTCTACTAGCAGGTAGTTATAAAAGCCATAAAGTTGCAAAATTGCAATTAGTATCAATCAACTGGAATCAGTAAAATTTCAATATTGGGCAAGCCAACAAAGACCAAATGTTCTCCTATCTCTAGTGAAGCATAATTCTGATAATAACAATTTGGGGGGTATGCAAACTCCTTGAGGGCAAGTACTATAGGCTTTTACTATTTGTTTTGATCTCTGTATTTCCCCACCAGACACAACATGACACATTTGCTCTCAAAAAAAAAAAAAAAGGCTTGTCAAATGAAAGATGAAGGGAGAGGCTATTTTTCTTGGCTATTTTTCAATGTCTTCTCTGATATTGAGGTTCAAGCATTCAGTGTCTCACCAAAGGAAGTCCTCAGCCAACAGCAGAATCAAAAATGCTGATCTATCTATAAATAAAACACACTGTCTATCAAATGATCAGTTCCAATATAATCTGTCAATGGCACTTATATGAAAAGCCTGGGAGATCGTGGAGTTGACTGAATCCACATGAGGAGTGATGAGACATCAACTAGAGCTCAGTGCTCTTAGCCTCAGAGCCAAGCCAGCTGTCTATGTAGTGTAACCTCACAGGACTTCCCCATATCAACACAACTCAAAGTGAGCATCTCCAGAAAACACCATCACAAAATTCCCCTGATTCAGAAAATAACCATATTAGAGGTTTCCCTGTGCCTTCTTGATTTTATTAAGACCTCAAATCATAGAATTTTATCTACTTGGCAATACAAAATAACACTCCCAATAATTTCCTTATAAAAATTTATTTTTTCTTCTGATAATTAGAATAAAATTTAGGACCTGGAAATTGCAACTGATGACAAATAAGCTGGCAAATGTCAGTCATTTTTCCCCCTATTCATGATGATTAATAAAAGTATTTTAGCAGTATCACCTAGTTGACTTCTTCATTTAGTAAATGACAGAATTACAGTTCACAGAGTTAGATGGTTCATTCAAGGTAAGTCAGCTAATCATAAAGGCTTCAAAAGAATGTGATTTGGCAATATTTGTTCATTTGGCCAAAAATTTTGAGAACTTACTATGTGCTTGGATGTATAAGAATAACTAGGAGCCATCCTAACTCCTCAGACCAAGGTAACATTTATAGCAACTACAATTGTGAAAGGTATTAACTGGCATACTGGAAGCATATATGACATATTCTCTGAGCACAGAGAAGAAAACAAATTCTTCTGTGAAGTGGCAGGCAAAAGTGTCCAAGTATGTCCCATCAAGAGAAATACATGTGAACGTGTGAACGTTTCTTTTCAGCTTTTAAAAATCATTCCCTAGGTTAACACTAAAAATTTGAGATCTCTGAAATCCTTATATTTCCATCTATGACCTCAGTGCTTTTAATGTTAAAATAAAACCTTGACAGAACCAAATGGAAGGTCTCATGGAATGACAACTTGTCTGTGGGACTGATATCATTTAATTAAATTCATGAGATAAAGGATGTAAAGTACTTAGCATAGTACCAGGCAAATGGCATGTGCTCAGTAAATGTATTCATTCATTATCAGATAAGCGTCATTATAATTTGGGTGAAAACTGACATTTACCAATCTTGCAATCCAATTTGTGAAATGACTATAGAATGCTCTGAAGGTAGGGTGATACAATTAAATGCAGTATCCAAAGTATATCTTTAAAGGAATAAAACCTCTTTCCCAATACCCATCAAAAGACCTTGGCAGTTCTTAAACATTGCGCATTGTACGGACCAATCCTCCAAAGAGCGCCCCCTGTAGACTCTTAATATTAACAGCTTTTGTCTGAGATTTGATCTGAGAAAATGCATCATTCCAGCTGCCCCCTGCTGAGCAATACAGGAGCATGTTTTCTTCGTTGCTGGGATATGATTGTAAATAAGAAACTGCCACCAAGTGAAACTGTAGTTTTTCTAAGTCCGAAGTTGAGATTTAGGTGGCCTGGGCAGTCTCTCCAGTCTGGGGCAATTAGACTTTTTTTTTTCAAGTATGCACACACACTCGCATACATCTTATCTCTCTCTCTCTCTACAGGTTTTGCACTGTTTGAAGAAGTCTGCACAGGTCCTAGACGTACTTCTCCCAGGGATGGGATACATTCCACCTGCTCCCCAGGAGGGTGAGGGAAGGTATCACCTTAACCAGTAGGGAAAGTCTCCATTGCAAAATGTAAATTTCCAAAACTAGACCATTTTCTCTTGTGAAGCTAATAAAGAAGAGGCATCGCTCCTTTGACTGGAAGTCGATCCAAGAAAGGCTTTGTCCTACCCCGACCTCCAACGCCCCCAATCCTAGGCAAGGGATCAGCAGTCGGGGACTGTCTCCCTCCAGCACCAGCGCAGAGAAAGCGGCCCGCCCAGCGCTGGCCGCCGCGGCTGCGAAGCCAATTTGCGGCTGGGCAGGTGAACTCTTCTTCCCGCAGCTGGATGAATAATGAATGGAGCCGGGAAGGAAAGCAGAGCGCCCTGTGCTGTGGATTGAGTCCTCTTCCTCCCAGCCGCCGGCTCCCCTCCCCCTCCTTAAACACTAACTGGGCCACTTCCCGGGCTCCTCCGAGCAGGTGGGAGCTCAAAGCGCCTCGCGTCCCTGGCCCTGCACCCCTTGACCCCAAAACTCTTAATTTACTTATTGATTTATTTATTCGGCTGAGCCTAGATTGCGTTTGATATCATGGCGACAACTCTTCGCTGTCTCCCTTCCCTCTCTCGGCTCCAGGGTTTCAAATGTAGATTGAAGCCCGGGAGGAAAACCAGGAGGCGGAGGGATAAGGGAAGTAATCTAAACTCTTATTAACCACTTTCCCCCGCCCCCTTGGGGAAGCAGGAAGGCTATCGGTACCGGGGAGATTTATTTCAGTACAATTAAATTGCCTACGTCCAGAACATGCTCTGATCAGCTAGTTATAAAATCTTAACTGGACTTTATAGAGACTTATAGGGGAGACTTATAGGGGTAGGAAGGAGCAAGAGTGATGGAGCTTTTATGTTTCATAGGAGCCGAAGTTGGTTTGCTTTTTTGTTTGTTT